CCCCAAAACCCCAAAACCCCAAAACCCCAATTACCTAAATCTGTTCTAAATAAAATGTGATATAAACTTAATTATATTAAACTATTTATATTAAACTAAAATTGATCAATATCAAATATAATGTCACTATAATATATTACTGCTCTCTAAGTTTATTTGATCAGTCTAAGGTATTACTTCTAAAGGTTTCTATGGACCTTAAAACTTAATATTTCCATATTTCTTTTTTGTAAGTTTTTCGATTTTAGATCCAATCGAATGTCCAACAGCATATCCTCCACCGACTCCAACTCCAGCCCCTACTCCAGCACCAAATATTGCTCCTAAAGCACCTCCTATTCCTCCTAAAACTCCTCCTAAGAAGTACTTTATTCCTCTAGCTTTTTCTTTGGAGGCTTTTTGGATATTTATTCCTGCAACTCTTGTATCTTCAGTTGCATTTTAAATCTCGGTATCAATCTTTTTAATTTTTTCATCAGCTTTAATTATCTATTCCAGTTACCCCTTTGAGATTTAATTTACACTCGAGACAATATTTGTAATCTTATCTAATTAATCAGCTGTTAACTCTGATTCATCTTGATACTCAGCTACACTTAGAATATCTAATGATTGCTTTTTGGTCATACAAACTACTTCCTCAAACTAAAAATCCAAATCCTAATAGTTTTTCTTTTCTTCCTCAAAATTAATTTAGTGATTCGTATTACTCATCTATTCTACATTTTTGATACTCATATTTTGCTATTCAGATTATTTTATTTCCTTCTTTTCCTTAGCTTTAAATGAATAACAATCTTCTCTTTCAACTATCGCCTTCATCTTTTAAACATAGGAATTATAAGATTCAATCACTATTTTAGCATCAACTTTACGCTTTTCTTCTAAGCTAAAATACTCCTCAATTTATAGACTGATCTTTAGAATTAAATTCAAAATTTTAGCTTTGACTTTATGATATTCTTTCTTTGTGTAGTGATCACATTATTTTGTGATATTTTCACATTTTCTAATATCTATCGCAAGCTTTTCAATATACTTCTAAATTTTCTCAAGCTTCTTGGTAAAACTCAACTCCTTCGATTTTTTTTCCATTAATTTATATTATCTGATTGATTAATCAATTCTATTTCTATATAATTGATCCAATTACATTAATAGTATCTCTTGGGGTTTTGGGGTTTTGGGGTTTTGGGGTTTTGGGGTTTTGGGG